CTTTTTCGCTCCGAACTTCAGTCATCGCTTAGGTAGGGGGTCTACTATCACATGATTACGAGAGCCAGATATCCCCACTCTGGTGGGAACTGTCCTCAAAGGCAGTACATCTGCTGAATGAGACCCGTGACAAAACAAGGTCACAGGGTAGGAGCCCCCATATGGAACCTATCGGCCGAAGTCCGATCTTTCTCTGCCACTTCTAACCCCCGAAATTTCAAAGCGAAAGCAGCGCTCATCTCCTGTCCTCTCCGAACCCGCCCACCCCATGGACGAGTGGCTTCCGTGGTTAGAGCTCAGACACTCGCGGTTGACTCGCGCAGGGCAAAACGATGTGTAGCCATTGAATGCGTGGGCGACTCGCGAAATCGGTGTCGCGGCAAAATCAGGACACCTGATTTTGTGTCGCGGCAAAAGTGCGCGGCAAAATCGGGGCAAAATGGGGAGACCTGCGCGAGACACCAAAATGTCGCGATCGCGTTCAGAGGACGCGGCCTACGCCCTTACTGACAGCTTTTTGCGTCCTCTAAGCCCTCTCTCACGCCTTCCTTTTGACTTACCTTGAGTCCTTGGTCACGTTGGGTCCCGTTTCCCACGCTTGTTTTTTTTCTGCTGATAAACCCAGTCTTACGTCATAAAATTTATTAGCAAATACCACATGATCTTCTCGAATAGCGTTTACAATAACATCGAAATGAGACAGGAATCAAAGCACCGCAATCACGACACAAGGTTACGAAAGAACTACGGTTAGGAATGACAACAGCATTAATTTTTTACGACTACTTCATCTTCATTTTCAACGTTTTCAGTCTTCTGGATCGTTACGCGTTCTTTGGTAACACTGCTGCCTTCGACCATGACGCGCTTTTTCTGAAAATAAAAAATTATTGTTACCAGGATCGTATAAAACAAACGAATTACCTTTGATGGAAGGAGCATGGACCTATCAGGGTCAAAATGATACCTCCCGATGTCTTCCCTGCAAAAATATAGTTCAGAAGTATCGCTTTCCTTATGAGAAAACTCACAAAGCTCTCCCATTTGCTATCCTCGCCTTACCGCTCCATACTACTCTTTCCTCTGAGAGGACGTCGAATAATTTTTCGCAAGCGTCGTCATTTTCGGCTAAGTCCAACCACCACCTAAATTCTAGTGCACATGAAGGTCTTTCGAGAACATACATACTTATTTGGATTCCGTTTATGCTCATCTGGCGTCCGCAGAAGTTGGTCGCGGTGTAGGCCAAGGGCGTCAAGGATGAAACCTAAATCAGTTATTGAAAGTAATGTACTCAAACACACATTGACCCACTTATTAAGAAATCGACTAATCCTTCCGGGAGGTCCTTAAGATGGTCAAATTTCTCCTTCTTCCCGCTCTGTCTACAGGCGTACTGTTGAATTTCCGTAGGTGGTTCGCAGGCCTAAACGGTGATTACAAGACGACCTCATCATCTTCATCTATCTGTCGCTTACATTTAGAAAGAAGTGGCGCAAAAAGTCGAGCACCAAAAGGAAATGATCATGCTTGTGCGCGCGTTTTGGTCTCTGCCACTTTTCCATGACTTCAACCATATTGAGCTCCTGAAACCAATAATTTTTCCTCGTTGACTGAGAGTAGTGGCTAAAGACCTTGAAAGGCGGTGCACTCTCACGATGCCAGATCAACGTGTTTTTATATTTAGTATCAAACTATTTATGAGCATGTATGGCAGTTTATCACAGAATGCTCAAAACACAATAACGTGATTGAACTCTTTACCACTCTTTACCTCTTTACCTCTTTACCACCCGAACTCTTTACCACTTGCTCCATAGTCTCCGCAGGTATCCACTCGACCACCCGTCCACATCTGCATGCCCTTGGCGCCGCAAGCTCAATGCGAGCCTTAGCCGCATCTTGGGTAAACCATCGCTCATAACTTTGCCCAGAAAATCATTGAGCAGCTAAGGATCACGAATTTGGCATTAGGACCCCAAGAGCAGCAGAATGATATGCATCATGTGTGGAAACCCCTCTTCGATGGATGATCCTTCCCTTGTAAGTAAATTCCGAATTCCGGCTAAGCCAACTGTCAGAAATGATGACGTGCGGGATAAACAATGTGCATAAACTCTTTCATCTTCCGAATTGAGTACAAATCACTGAAAAAAAAGGCGAGAGTCAAATGAGTGATTTTTCTAAACTCGTGAGATGCGGTGCGATAAATGTGAGCTATGCCAGGTAAATTTTGAACTGGAATTGTGTACTCTAAATAATATGGAACTGGAACCGGCAATATTGATGCCAGTTTTTGCACAGAGTTGAACCGTAGATGACATTCTTCATGTGATGAAAAATCTGCTTTAAGAAGTTCAGAAAAAGCATTACAGGCAACCGCAGTTCAAAAATCGCATAACCTCCAAAATTTCGAAAATGACTGTCTTGTAAGCTCATACCATTTTAAGAAATGAGCAACCGCAAAAGAAGAACATTACTTTCTTAGTTTCATAAATAAAAACATGCCTTCTCATTCAGCTCTTGCACGGCCGGAAGATCACTATCCACTTGTGAATCGACATTCTCGCGGCTTTCATCATTGTCATTGACATTCTCTTCTTCCTCTTCTATAAAATCCTGGAATGAGCTTATATCATAGGTGAATCATGGTAATCATAATGCGGAAACTCTTCCGACCTCCTCAAGAACAGGATTATGCTTAGGTCGGCGTTCCCTTCTTGGCTTCGGGGATCGCAACGCAAAATCGTCATCCCATTCGTTTTCGTAAAAGCGCTTGAAAACCAAAATAGTACACGTTAGCTAAATACTCAAAGTCCAGTAATCAGCTAAAGTAAGCAAGCAAAACAATCTAAGAATGAAATATAACTTCTAGAAAGAGAGAAAAAGGGTTCACCTTTACTTCCGGATGATGATCAACGCAGATAATGGCCGTGTGATCAGAAGGACGCGTTCGAAATGAGCGTCTCAAGCTGATTCTCTTTGGTCTAAGCCTGGTTTTTATCGGCATGGAACGTCTCTGAAAAGACATGCTTTGCTAAGTATAGATTCATCTAAGAAAAAAAAACAAATGCAACAAATGCAAGAAAGAATTGATCAATACGTCGACGTATAGGTGCGTTATTTCGAAACCTCCTCGCCCGTCGCGACAAAATCGCACCAAAATCCGGACGAAACTAAAATGATGACTCGCGCCGGTCCACCGGATTTTGCCGCGAACGTCCATTTTGTGGGCGGATCCCCTGCGCGAGTCAACCGCGAGTGTCTGAGAGCGCCAGCCGCAATGCTATAAGCGTGAGGTCCCGCAACGACTCTGCGTCTTCGCCATGACGGGCTTCGCGTTCGCTCGTCCATGGGGTGGGCGGGTTCGGAGAGGACAGGAGATGAGCGCTGCTTCCGCGTTGAAATTTCGGGGGTTAGAAGTGGCACGGAAAGATCGGACTTCGGCCGATAGGTTCCATATGGGGGCTCCTACCCTGTGACCTTGTATTGTCACGGGTCTCATTTTGCTGATGTACTGCCTTTAAAGGCAGTGTCCGGGCAAAAACGACTTTGAGATTTTGTACTTACCTGGACCTTTTCGTAACGCGAGTCCGAAAATGCACATTGGCGAGCGCGAAAACGGCGAAAAACGGCTCTAACACATGAGGGAAATCAGCAGGTGGGCGGGGTCCTTCCTGCTGTGAATTCACGCTCTCAGCTTTTGCAGCAATCTTCTCGCTTCCGATTTCAAGTCCATCATTCGCACTTGACCGGTAACGATATTAGGAGGTTAGCGGAATCGAGAAGATCGCTCCGGAAGCTGGGAGCGTGAATTCACAGTGGGGAGGACCCCACCCACTTGCTGTTTCCCTCTGCGCTAGAGCCCTTTTTCGCCGTTTTCGCGCTTTCCAGTGTGGATTTTTGGATTCAGCATGAAAAATAGGTCCGTATAAGCACAAAATCTCAAATCGAGTTTTTGCCCGGACATTTAGGTCGTAAATGGCCGCGTTCTGGGGCAGAGGGATCCACGACTTACTCAAGCATTGGTGGGAGACTATTGTCAACGGCGATTACTTCGAATGATTTGGTAGCGTTGTTTTTGAATGGTGAGATGAACAATTCTGGATCGCAAATGTTCAAGAACTTTCTCACCAAACTAGTAATTACATGCAAGCTGTGGCTACTGAGTAAATCACGGTGAAGATTCTATTTGATCTGCAGTTTGCGAGTTGTTGCCAACTAAAATGTGAGGATCTCTTTACATGTGCGCGCGGAGGTCATTTTTTGGGCAGTCCAAATTTCTAATGTTTGTCACCATCTACGGCGATGATGATGGTTGCAGATGTTAAAATCTTATGTTTGGGCACCATTTGTACATTTTACCTCTAATTTCGGTTCGTTTTTTGTCGCGTGCTTTTTCGAATGCTGAAAAAAAAGGCTTTTACTTAATTCACCACTTTGTTATCAGACAGACAACGAATTCTGCTCAAGCATCTAACCATCCGATTTTTCTCAGTCAAAACCAGACGCTCGTAAAAAAATTATCAGTAATGTCCTTACTTTCTATGATGACCGTAATTCTTTAGCCATCCTAGCAGTATATGGTGAAAGCTGGAGCCTCTAGCCACTTTTGTTACTACTGTAAGCGTCTTCTGGTGCAAAAGCTCGTAAACTGCACTCAACTGAAAAAGCGTTTCGAATTTTCGAATATCGTCTCTTTCCATTTTTGTTCATTTCTTTTCCTTTTTTATGTGATCCATCGATGCTTTGTTAATTCAAATAGTCATGCATACATCCATCTCAACATTTTCATGCGATGCTTTTCAGTCGATCTGAGCTTTGCATATTCGCCTATTTAAATACCGTTTCTTTCCATTTTTGTTCATTTCTTTTCCTTTTTTATGTGATCCATCGATGCTTTGTTAATTCAAATAGTCATGCATACATCCATCTCAACATTTTCATGCGATGCTTTTCAATCGATCTGAACTTTGCATATTCGCCTAGTAGTGTACGTTTTTCAGAATTTTTGAGCTATGTCGACGCTCCAGCCCGTGAATCCGAAGCCGTTTCTCAACTCCCTGACTGGTAAACCGATTGTGTGCAAGTTAAAGTGGGGTATGGAATATAAAGGTAACTTTAAAATTCGAAATGATGTGAATTGAAGGCTGTAGGTATATGTATTTCAGGTATCCTCGTGGCAGTGGATGGATATATGAATTTGCAAATGGCTAATGCGGAGGAGTATATTGACGGAAATAACACTGGAAATTTAGGCGAAATTCTGATCAGGTAATATCATATTTTTAATTAGCTTGCTATTCATGTTCTCGGACCCCCATACGGTCTCACTTTGCACTTGGGGATTACAGCATGTTCATTGCATTGTCGCACGGACGGTATAGTAATGTCATCCTGTATGGGTTCCCGGGTAGTAACGGTCGAAAGTCTGTTTGACAAAAATTTGGTCCAAGGAGTCAGTTCGATATCTGACCAAGAAAATGACACAAGCAGAGTCGCTTATGTGGGATTACAGTAGACGTAGGTATAAGTCTCACTTCATCGCGACGCACAGGAACCCCTATGCAATAGATGTTAAATGTTAAATCTACACGATAAGTCTCCACAGTAGCGAGTTGTTATGATTTCTTGAACAGCATCAAATTATTTAAAATTCCAGCTGTCCGATTTTCCCTTTACGCAACTGTCTTATCTCGACTTTATCATACGGGATATAGTGTCTTTCTCGTGATCAGCATGTAAATAGGCCCAGTTGGGGCGAAACCCGTGAAAGGAGTTTCGAGCTTTGATTAGCCGCTTAGCATTCCAGGAGGTTTGCAGTGTGTTCCCATCAATGTCTTCAATATTCATATTATCAAATCTTTCCGAAATATATTAGTGGAATGGAAGCATCTTGAATAGGTCTTATTTTTGGATATAGGTCTTTGTTTTGCATAATAATTGACATAGGGTAGGACTGCTTTAAATACTCCGGTACCTGTGAGTGTGCCATGTACACATAGCATTATGATTCAGCCCCTGTTTCTGTCGGGATGAAGCTAGACTCATGAAACTGCAATTATTAGTGCCTTTTTACTGCATACAATTATTATTTGTTAACTACAACATGAATTGCGTGGTTTGTTAGTATCTGTATTAGTTGAAAGTGCAAAGAATAATAAGTTTGCATAAATCATTTGCTTGCATCTTTGCAAGAATGAAATTTTCCATCCTGTGTAGTAAGGGTTTGCCTCAAATCCTTAATACATAAGATAAACAGCAATATTCGAGCTGATTGAATATTAAGCTTATTGCATATTCTCAGCATGACCTGAAGGTTTTGGGTGATCCTTCATGATCTTTCTCAATCAAATAAGCTTAATTGCTTCAGGTGCAACAATGTTCTTTATGTGGGAGGTGTCGATGCTGAGGCTGAATCATGATATCTTGCAACTTCGTTGTATCTTTGTTTTGTTTTGTATTTTGTTATGTGATAAAATGATTTTTTTTGAAATGTGTTTCTACTATGAATTTAACGGTCACATCGCATTCTTACATGCTTGATTGTTCTTTTCTAGTTTTTTCATGACTCGGTGCACACTATCGGTTACATTGATAGTCGAGTTTGCTGCATGTCTCATCCCGACAACCATTTCCCCTCGTCTTATTTTGAAGTATGGGACCAGTTTCCAGTCGTTGCTGAATGGCAGTTGATTTTATACTTCATTTCTTTGGCTTTAGTGAGTAATGCTAATCTTTCGGCGCAGATTCGGATTTTCAAAAGACAGTGCCAAATACGAGAGAAATGTTAATAATCGAATTTTTCTTGTATTTGCGTTTTGTGGATGTAACGTCTACCACATTCTGAACTCGCAAATGCATTGATTGGCTGCTTTTCTTTCTGGTTTGGAATCTTCTTTGCAGTCGATAGTGCACACATCAAATCGTATTCTTATCATATTTTCTCCTGCAGTAAAGAGTTGGGAAAAGAGGAGAGCCGTTTTCAAAACGCTGCATATCCATTTTTGGTCAAACGGTCAAGAGACACGATTTCTCTAAAGGTTACCAATTTACCAGCCCATTTGAGAGCTATGCGAGCTTTTAAAGAGCACATATCAGGCACACGCCATACTAGGTCCGCTTGATCCACTTGATCTCTGCTTCATCCACTTCGCTTGATCAAATCAGCTGACCAGTGGCGAAGTGGATCAAACGAATCAAGTATGGCGCGTGCCTCAGACAAGGTGCTATAGCTTACAAACAGTTTGAAGTTACCACTTGTCCAAATTGACGGGCTTTTAGTGAAAATGATTTACATCCACGAAACGCCATTAGTTGCATTTTCGGGGGTTCTTAACTTCAGCACCTATGTTTTAAATTTACTTTGAAATGATAAGATCGAGCAACCCATGGGGCAGTCATACAGAGTGTCCCAAAAAATGTGAACACTGTTTGAACGTTAATAACTCTGTTGCTTTTGTGTCTTTCGCCGAGCTTTAGGCACCATTTCGTAGATCGAGGTTCAACTTAGATTTACAGTATGAAGCAAAACTCCGATCTCTCTTCGCTACTGTTGGATTACGGTGGGAACTTCCAGCGTGTGAATCCATTGTGAAGTATGCCATTTGATAAAATTTTTTCCAAACAATCTGAAAAACCGTGTACTAGGGTTTTCGCGCACGCTGAATCCATTACACAACTTTTTACAAGAGTTTTTAGCTTTTTTGGCGGAGTAATCACATTTTTGACAAATGCTGGGAATTCTGTTATTACCGTTTACCTGGGATAACTTCGGAAAGAAGCGTCACAGTACAGTGGAAATTTCATATTCGAAATCAGCGGCTTCCATTACCATAGCATAAGAGCTTTTGGCTTGTTTGGTTTTGTTCCGAGGCAGAATATGGCCTCTAATGGCCTAAAATCCTTGTCAAAGTTCCTACCGTAATCCTACAGTAATGAAAAGCAATCGATAATTCGCTCCATACTACAAATCTAAGTTGAACCTCGCTCTACAGAATGGTGTCTCAAGTTCGGCGAAAGACATGAAAGCAAAGGAGTTATTAACGATCAAAGAGTGTTCACATTTTTTTGGGACACCCTGTATTTTTAGGAATTTGAGTCGCTCCCAGAACATCATAAAATACCAAAAATATCTAGTCAATATCCATCTGGCAATAAAAATCGCGGCTTTTGTCATACACCCTCCATTTTCGACGCGAACATTTTTGTCCTCTACATTATCAAATGCGCGCTTTTGAATACCCAGTGATATCGAAAAAGTTGCAAAAAAGCGGCAAAACGTCAGGTACCTTAGTGCATATATACTCTGATCTATTTTTGATTATTCTCCCATTGATTTGCTATAATTTAAAGCCTCTATTGTCCAAAGTTCTTCACTCAAAATTCACTCCTACCACTCGATCGCGAATGTGTCTAGCGTAGATTCATCGTTGTTTTCCCAGGCTCCGATTTTCCTGAAAATGGTCTGAGGACCAACGATGGAATCTGAAAAGAAAGCCAAGGAACAAAGCCACGCGATCTTCGATTCGGGAAGTAGGAGAACGGAACCCACATTTCAAATGGTGGAAGCAGATTGGTCTCAGTACCGTAAAGTGCCAAATACGGAGGACAAGGATACCAAGCCTGTCACTTTTGTTGGGCATGGTTTTCCAAAAGCGAAAGGTTCTGGACCCGATAGAAACTCAGAAGCTGAAGCAAGCTACAGAGAAGCGTCTGATTCGGAATGGGATGCTTGTCAAGCTTTGAGACAGAGATCTGAACGATCATCTGAACAGCACAAAAGTCCTCCGAAGAGCGACTTGTATAGCAGGCGCCCGAAACGGATCCAGGTTTGGGGTAGTTGTCACTGTTTAGCGTTCTTATTAATCCATATCTTTTATAGAACGGCGCTTTTGATGCTGCGGTTCCTCCAACATCGGTACGTGCGCGTAAAATACAATCGCAGGATCAGCCAGTTCGTGAGGAGGTGTTGCATGTAAGTTTGCTGACAAGATCAGTTAGCCTAATTGTTACATCTTTTTCTCTGTGCTTTCAGTTTGTTTTCGCTTTTTCATTGAGTTCAGCTGTTTTGCACTTGTAAAAGCAAGTTCTTCTGTTGTTGATCATTGCTGCTCAAAAATTTCGTTCTCACTGGCTGGGTTTTGGGCTGATATTCAATGTAACTGTCAACTTTGAGAAAATTCTGCTTTCTAGATCGACGATATCCGAATTTCTTGTCTGTAAATGTGCGGATGTTTTCCTGCACTATATCATGCATCCCCCAGAACTGTTCCCGTGAACCATCAACATGGCCGCCTTTTGATCGTTTTGATACGTTAAAGGCAGCGTCCAGGCAGATCTGGACCTATGGGGATTTTACTTGGAAAGTAATTTTGGGGCCCCAGCTAAGGCACTGCCCATGCGGCAGCGCAAGTGACTGACTAACGGCTGGGAATGCCTCCAAACTGGACCCCAGGATCGTATTCGCATGGATTCATGGGAGTTTCGCGCGAAGACCCACGCGTTACGCCATGAATCCGTGCGAAATACGATCCTAGGTTCAGTTTCGAGGGGAGTATCTCAGCCGTTAGAGCACTTCCTAAGCTGCCGGGCAGTGGCTTAGTTAGGGTCCCCAAAATTACCATCCACGTGAGATCCCCTTGTGTCCAGACTTGTCTGGACGCTGTCTTCAACTCCAGCAAATTTAAGGCACTTAATCGAAGCTGACAAGTGAAAGATCGAAAGACAGCCACGCTGGTGGTTCATATGGGAACAATTCTGGGGGATGACTTCACCATATGTGGAGTCATGGAGGGAAATTATGAACTTATCTCTGTAACGGTAATTACCTGCCCTTTTTTTCAATTGATGACTGAAAACAATGCTACATCGTCCTTATTTCATCTCTATTGACAGAGGTGACAAACTCACTATAAGGGCACAAACACCACGATTGAAGAGTGCGAGTATTGAACCCCTGCACTCACATTGAACGGTTGTCGCGGAACTACTCTAGCAATGTGCGCTAAGATCAGAGTTTCAAGTATATTTCGATCTCAATTTCGCTCTAGTTTTGAATCCTATTATCATCCTGTAGAAACATACAATAATTGGAATGTGTTTGTAGTCCATTATATCCATCGAAACTAAAGAAGAGATTTCTTGATCTCATTCTAATTGTTCTTTCGCGCTTCATGATATTCATCGCAGACATTGTCTTTGACCAAATGGTGTTGATTTGTGGATCGATTATTTAGGAACAACCCGCTGAAATGGTGAGGAGAGATCACCTTATTGAAGATGGACGTAGGCCGAAAACTGCGCATTTTACGTATAGAAACGTATGTCCTTTCTGTATCTTGGTCGCTGTCTAAGGAATACGAAGAGAGGTCTTTGCAGCATTCAGCGTCTAAGGAGAGGAATAGAAATAGGCACAGGCGTCATCGCCAAAATTTGAGCAAGACCGACTTTGTGCAAATCTGCAACGCTTTGTTCGATTCGGACGATGAAGTTGAAGTAGGTGAAATGTTGAAGTTCATTTTGATCTTTCGTGCAGTTCTTGGAAGATTTTTCTGCTTTATCAAATCGTTAAAGTATTCACGCTAAAACTTTGCAAGTGAGGCTCCATCTGACTTTTTGAATAACGTGTCGAGCACTTTCCTAGGTTTTTGGTTGAAATCAGAATCTTGGGTTTCTCGCGCTTTATGTCCGAATCAGAGTAGGTATTGTATTGTCATTTCGTATCACTGTGATTTAGTTCTTGTGGTGTAGTTTGTATCATTCTTTCTATTACTATATTCGCAGGAGGAATGGAATGAGCCGGGTACTAGCAATGCTGTTTCTCGTAAAACTACGTAAGTTGTTTCCTTCTTACTATCCATCTGTGTAATGTCGTATGCTTCAGCGTGGAAGAAGGCTACGTTCAAATTCGTCCCACGTCGATTACTTCCGCATACATTGATGAATTTGTGAATGCTCCTCGAGGGGAAATAGTAAGCCCATATCATGAGTCTCCAGTTAGTCAATTCTTCAGTTCTCATGATATAATAGCACCATGCTTGTGCATAACCCTTTCTAGTTATTTGATCGCATACCTCGCCCTGGATATAAAGACAATCTTGACGCAGACTCGCACAGAGGCATCGAGGAGTATCTGGCACACAATCCTTTATCTACAGGTAATTTTTTTGTCTTTTGATTTTGATAGGCTTTCTTTGCTAAACAGTTCACCATATTTGAACTTGTTGTATAATTGACTGGCTTCGAATTCATTGGCTTTATAGTTACTAGTTTTGCTAGTATGCTGTCGGTGCCGACAACCTGGGCCCAAAGCTTCTCGCCTTACGGAAGGTCTTAACCTTCCGTATGCGCCAAGTCTGAACGCTTAGAAGTTGAGAATGTCACTCTTTTTGAGCGCGATGAGTACTAAGCAGGCGTGGCGTCGACTTTTAAAGAAATAGTCGAAGATCAAATGGGAGGAGATACCGCTTAGGTACTCCACTCATGGGCTCATCGGCAGATGTCCGCACGTGCCAATCAATCAAGCTTTTCGCATGAAAAAATTTTTTTTGTCTTCTACGAACAGAAGTGATTTAGCATATGCCATATGATCCAAGATTGATAGAAAACAAAATTCTAGAGATAATTATGCAATATTTGTTACATGTGGGCAGGATTCATGAAGATTTTCTCATGGAGTAGCGTGATTGTTTGAGGATCTCTGTCTGTTGTGGTCCACTTATTCGATTTTCCTCCCAAGCTCGTCTCAAGACCTCCAGATCGCCTATTAAGACCTGTAGTCATCGGTCTGTCTAGTGTTCCTTGCTCACTTTTGCAATTTACATTTTCACTTGTAGATGGATGTGCAGTTGCTGGTTGTTTTGACAAAGAGTACTCCGTACACTGGGGAAAAATACAAGATCCTTCCAAACTCACTTGGAACTCGTTCAAAGTCCTTCCCATGAAACCTATATGTTTGACTACGGCAATGTTTCTCCTGCGAGGTCACAAGGTACGATGTAATTTAAGCTTATCTTGAAACCATTTTCTGCTTAGGTTACTGTGCTTTTGCCGAATTATTACACTGATGCATGCGTTCCTGCAATGCGAAGTAAGGTTGGATCCTTTCGCGTTTGTTTTTTTGGTTTTTTCAGAATTTTATGCTATCCCTCCTCCCTTCCCAAGTTGCAGCTCTCATATCTACTATGCAGGTTGACGATGTTGAGGCCCTCAAAATCTTAATAAATCTCAAAATTGTACACTTCGTTAGACAGAGAGGTATGGATAGTGTTATGGATACAATTAGGAGAGAAGTTGACAAGGTTTGTTCATTCTTATCTCAACTTGGAAACTGTATTGCCAGTTATGGACTGCTTAGGTTGATGCTTTACTGATAAGTTCGGGAAATTCAGACGTGAGAGATGATTTTCCAAGAAACCCAACCTTCTCTTCGGAAATGGAGGTGTGTGTGTTTTTCTGCATCGCAATCGTTCTACCAAATCAAATTCTATCCACATAATCTGCTGTTATCATTGTGCCTATCAACGCACTTTATGAAGACTTGTTGAAGATATCGAATGTCCATCTCATTTGATTTACATCATGTGTTTCAGGCGTCGCAAAATAGTGATTCTGCTTTCACAAAGGCGTCTAAACGAATGTTAACACCTTCTTTCTATGGGAGGAATCGTGACATGGTACGCCTAACATTGCTCTTCAGTGCAATTATCGAACCCGACTTCGGCTGAAGTCTACCTGCCGAATACGATATAGCTTTTAATCTAGACCATGTCTTTCGGTTTCCACACAAAAGAAGATGGTACATGGAGGATAGTTAAAGAAGAGCATATGTGTTATTACGAGCCTAACTTCGATGGTGATTGTCATATCAATGATGAGGGAAGGCTCTGCCAACAGCTTCAGTTCGAGGATCAAGTTCATTTGGTAAGCTGATGTTAGGATATTTCGCTTTGTTTTTCAAAATTCCCCGCCCGTGTGTACTCAACTCAAGTTCTGATACAAGCAGTATAATAAGTCTTTGTTGGTGACGGCATTTTCATAGCATTACGAAGCCCTATATTAGAGGACTTTTTTCACTATAAACATTACCGTTTTTAGCGTCATAATCTTACTGTATTCTTTTGCTAATCATTACCATTCATTTGTTTGCGAAGTTATTTTTGCATTTTTACAGTTGGTCGCACTCAAGGAGCTTTTCGAATGGCCTTCCCTGTATCGTCGAGGCATATCTGTGGTTCTACGCCTTAATCATCTCGCAACGTCTGCTTGAGGCATTTTTGTACTTTCTATTCTCTGCCGTTACTCTACTTGCATCTGTGAAATCTCATTCTAATTGTGAACAGGTTGCAAATGGTCTCATGCAAGTGTACCCAAATAAAATGAAATGGGAACTGAGTCATCTTCCAAATGGCTAGCAATTTATTGACTCAACAAGCGGCGGATCAGGGGAGATGCCCACCCCCTTCCGAGAATGCTTGGCTCGTCCTGCACCTTTGTCGCCACAGCGCTGTTGTAAGGTTCCGCTGATGCGTTGCGATACATTCTTCTTGTGAAATTAGCGGAAATGGTCAAGGCACCTTTTGGCTAAGGTAGCGAGCTCAGGGAAGTGTTTACGATGCGATATACAATGATGATGGAAACCAATTGAGTAGTTGCCCGGGAGAGCTTTGTTTATCAAAGACATGTTTTTTGACGTTACTTAAACTGCTTACAGACATAGTATTTCCTGGAATTCTTTAAATTTAATGACGGGAACTCCAAAACTGCATGGACAGCGCTCTGGTGCCTGTGAACAGACGTTGGAAGTGGACGTGTTTCCATATCCACCTTCTAGGTAGACTCGCTTTCATTGAAAAGCAATAACTTCTCGAACCATCTCCTCGAGGCAAAGGCGGTACTAAGGGCCGCATGCACTAACATCCCCACGGGGAGGGGATCGCAGCTTGAAAGAAAGCTACATATTTCGAGACTCCAGATACCTGGATTTCACGTTGTGTACCTATCCGTAAGCATTCCTACTATCCTTCACTATGAACATGTTGAAGAGGAGCGAGAAGCTGTACAAACCGCATTTTCCAGCTTTTGTATGATCCCTGATGATCCCCGGCGCTTTCTTCAAAGTCATTTTTCTTTCTCCGAAGTTAACGAAAACCTTCCAAAGTTGTACTGAACATCTAACACAACAGTGGTAAGCATGTTGCTGATGAGAACAAATGAGTTTTTTGAAAGTCGTATTTTTCGGTAAACCTCAAATTTCGATCTGTGGATCATCGAAAATTTCATGACTTCAAAACATCATTTGTTCTTATCAGCAACATGCTTAGCATTGTCGGGTTAGATAATCTGCACAACTTTGGAGGTTATTCGTTAACTTCGGAGGAAGAAAAATGACTTCAAAAAAGCGCCGGGGATCATCAGGGACCATACAAAAGCTGGAAAATGCGGTTCGTATAGCTTCTCGCTCCTCTTCAACATGTTCATAGTGAAGGGCAGTAGGAATACTTACGGATAGGTACACAACGTGAAATCCAAGTATCTGGAGTTTCGGAATATAAAGCTTTTTCTAAGCTGCGATCCCCTCCCCGCAGGGATGATAGTGCATGCGGCCCTAAGTTTTATTCGGGGGAGGGGGGGGAGGGGAGGGTGGGGGGAGGGAGGCAACAAACATTTTTTCGAATAGAGGTGCGTGTATCAGCTACGCATTTCGAAAGATTTCTTGGGATACTTCTCAGAAAACCTTTCGAAGGGCCCGTAGCCTTAAACCAGAATAGGGGGTATGGCGATAGCGATGCCCGGGGGAATTTTTTTACCAGGCTGATATGAATTTCTGAAAAATTTTGAAATTTATTTCAATTACTTGCAAATATAAACAACTCAAACTTCCCAGTAACCCGTGTGAGCAAAGGCTGATGCAGAAGGCGCACAAGCAGCATTAGTTGAGCGGGCGCGAACGTTGCGCGCGTGTATCTTCACCATTGTGAATCCTGCGCCTCATGCGCTCTGTGGCTAATGAAACCGCGTTTGCACCCGAAGATATTGCGCCTTCGTCGTGCAGCAGCCTATACTAACTTTCATAATGCCGCGACTCATTCTCGGTGGGGGAGGGGGAGAGGGAGAGGGAAGGAAGAGGGGTCGTCACTGTCGCAGGTAGATTCTGGCTGCTAAGCATTTGCTCAGCATCTGTTTTCTCTGTTGCTGAAGCTTTTATTTGCTCTGTATGTGGTTCACTCAAAATTACTGAATCAACCGATCAGGCGGGAAATTGTGGTTATTTGGTTCCGGCCCAGACTTCGCTCAAAAGCGTCTCATCTCTCCTCACATGAAAAAGTGAAGAGACATTAGAGAAAACTGGGCGCTTTGAGCGCTTTGAGCGAAGTCTGGCCGGGCTCTTTTGCCCTGGTTGAGTTAGAAAATGGTCAGTGGCTCGCGTAGTCTCCTAGGTACCAACGCGCGCGGATGCCAATCAACGCCCTACCGCATTCCTTCGCCGCGGTAATTTGCAATATTTGAACTCATTGCCAGCTGCTTTGATCATGTTAGTCCTTCAGATCAACATATCATCGGCTCCCAGAGTCGTGTGGAGGCAGGTTGCGGTCTTCTCCTGTATATAATGATAAACCTGTTAAACCTCCTCGTTAAAGCATTGTTTTTCGTACTCTCTCGTTAAGTTTCTCCTTATAATCAGGGAAAGCCCGCAACCCGCTTCCACACGAATGTGGAAGCAGATCATAACTTTGTTTTTCTCCCAGCTGTTGAGGAAAATGAGTTTCGCCGGTTTTCATAGGTGCTGAAATCGTTCAAGTCTTTCATGCTCTCGGCTACGCGTTTCAGCTGTCACGTCTCCATCCCTGCTATAACTAAGAGGGAACCCTGAAAAATATTGATGCTCATTCGTATAGCCGGTAGTTCCTAGATTCGCCTTTACTACATACGGAGTAGTGCAGATTATTGTACTCATTGGGTTTTCGTTGTGTTTTTTTTATTCTACTTACACTCAAATAAATGTTCACAGCGAGTGTTTTGTGTGAATTTCCATAGCTGCTCCTGAATCATCTTCAACTTGCGGCAAGTCGAATGAATTCGGAGAAGTTGTCTCAAGCTAGTCCCTCCAATTGCACTTATTGCTACTCTTTGAACTGCAATATTCGTGTCGAATCCATATCAAATGTGCACAAGCAAGGTTCAATTACATCCAAGTCATCTGTTCTCACTATCGGGAGGGATTTGGCACGGTAGGCAAAAGATTTGCTACTTACTTGAGAAAAAATGATTGTAGCTTGCAAACTTTTCAGTCAGATTGTGCTGCAGGTAGAGCTGGGTACGGCTTCCGGTGGTCGACCAGCAGTTGCTTCTTATGGGCTCGCAGATTGCGTTATACATCAGCGAAAGATTTCAGAAGGAAAAGCATCTATAGAAGTTCCGGAAAGGTATCTTTGTTAAAGAAAGTGGACTGCTTTCTTTTATACCGATATTCCAGAAAACTGGTTATACAGCTTTCAAATTGTGCTCCTCGAAAACTGAATGTTTTCCTGAAGACTGTACAAGCTAAACTTGACATCATGAAGTCGCACACCAATCAAACCAAGGGACAGTATCACACACCCGTCACAATAGCCAGGTGGGTTAGTTCATCAAGTTGCTGCAAAGATCAGAAGCTTTGTCGTAATCCTTATTTTTTAATCTTTTTCCAAGAAGTTTGCATCATGCCTGCTAGTTTTCTACTTTCCATGACTCTTCTAGAAACAAGCATTTGCGTGACCTTCCAAACCTCCATACAGTACTCAGCCCGCTGAGTGTCGACGAGATTCGCCAAGTGAAAAGGTATGGCTGAACAATTCTTTATCCTCACTTCTCTCATAACGGGAATCAGGAGCTAGCACATTTCCTTCAAGGTTGCGCGGTGTAGCAGACTCACCATTATGCGTACCGAAAACTACGCCTTCACGACGTCCAAATCCAGAATCAACTACACCAAAGGCTGCACGGAAATCACTGCTGAAGGTATATTTGGCACTTAAACGATCATATCGCAAACTTTGTCTCCAGGACGTCCCCAATAAAAGTTTTGGAGCCATACAATTATCTGACGAGCAACGTGCGGTCGTCAGATGTGTACTGCAATCCCATCAGAATGTATTCTTCACTGGCAGTGCTGGAACTGGAAAATCTGTTGTATTGCGGCGTATCATCGAAATGCTACCAGCAGCTACCACGTATGTTACTGCTGCTACTGGTTAGTTTGTAGATGAAACTCTGTGTATGATCGTGACTCTTGTTTCACTTTTAATTGACGTTCAAACTACGTGTAATCCAACAATGTCATTTTGAGTATGAAAGCTTTATCATTTCTGCTCCTTTTCCAGCGTCTGGCTTACCGTTGAGATAGACTTGCAAATTATAACAAAACATTTTCAGTTTTTGGTGATAAATCTTCGAATGACAAAGAACACAAAAGTTTGATGCTTTTTACGCATGTTTTTATACTGTCTGATTTCGGGGTCAAAAAGTGTACCAGTAGTGCAACTTTCTTGATGCTTTGGTTATAAATTTTACGTTGAATTATGAGCTTGCGGAATTTCTAAGCAACTTTTGACTGAAGATCAACCTTATCTTGTTATATCTCATTAAGGGAGAATAACTAATTTGTGAGCAATGCTAGTAGTTTTTTTTTTTGTATTTTTTGCTCATAGCTCCAATTTTGATCAGGGGTCGCTGCATGTCAGTTGGGTGGTGTAACACTGCACAGTTTTGCTGGCATAGGAGTGGGACGAGGCACTCCTGAGCAGTCGTTGGCGCAAGCATTGTCGAAGGATATCGTTGTGAAACAATGGAAACTATGCACCCATCTTGTCATTGATGAAATTTCAATGATTGATGCTGACTTCTTCACCAAGATAGAATACGTGAGCTCACTCATGACTTCTTATCTCTTACTCTGTTATTACGTTGTGGTCTTCATTTTAGTTATATGTTAATTTCTAACTCTATGAATTCGTTCGTGGAAGCTACGGCATTTATTTAGGTTGAGCGGCACATTCGAGGCGACGATCGTCCTTTTGGCGGGATTCAGCTTATCATAACAGGCGACTTCCTTCAGTTGCCTCCAGTATGTGGCAGAAATGATACCATCAAATTTTGTTTTGAGGTAATGTTCCATATAAGTGCTGGAAGTCATTGAGGTTTTCAAATATGGAGTGTTATTCTTACAGTGCAATGCATGGACAAAGTCAATTCAAAAGACCCTTCTCTTGGAAAAAGTACGCCGTCAGGACGACACACGTTTCGTAGACGTCCTACAGCAAATTCGATTTGGAAGGTTAGAATGCAGTTTGCGTTGTGCAGATACACAATTTGTATTGTGCCCCCTACAAATCTAAACTCATATTTTGTAGGTGTGGAACTGAAGCCTGTGCAGCGCTAACCGAAACGCAGAAAAATAATTTCTCAACATCGGGTATCATTCCTACCAGGCTTTGCACGCACACAGCAGATGCTGCAGCAGTAAACAACCGTTGTTTGGAAGAACTTGAAGGTTGTGGTTTGCAAGGACGGTTTTTCTTTTTCTAAAGCCACGCCATCTTTATCAGGGCCTTCTAAAGTGTTCGAAGCTGAGGACAGTCAATACATTCCTGACTCAATCCAATGTATGGTTCCAAAGAAGTTGATGTTGAAGCTTCGTACACAGGTATGCTGCTAACTATTTACAATTTCCATTGTCCTCCGATGTAGTGATGGCCAGTTTTTTTTTCATTTCAAACTCCTTTGTCGTCTATTTGTGTGAGTTAATCTAATTTTGGAGTCTGTTCCAGGTGATGCTTACGAAGAACATTGATCTCATGCGTGGACTGTCAAATGGCTCTAGAGGTGTTGTGAACAAATTCTCTAAAACGGGGTACCCTATTGTCAAATTTGTCTCTGCCGATGAAGAAGTAGAGGTACAAACTGTCATACCTTGTACATCATTTCTGCTTATCATAGCATTTTAGGTGAAACCTATACGATTTGCTGTACGCATACCGGGCTGTGAGGAACCAGCTTGCAGACGACAGCTACCTCTGCAGCTTGCATGGGCTATTTCTATCCACAAGTCGCAGGGCTTGACGCTTGACGCTGTTGAAGTCAGCTTGGAAAGGTGAGAAAGATGTTTCTGTCTTTTTTCCTTCTCCATCCTTAGAATTTCACGAAGAATTCGTTTAATATTTGTAATATAGTTCCTCCAACATTTATCATTACCATAATGCTCACTCTGGAGTTATACAAATGATATTATTGTTCACAGCACGTCTCTAAACTCACATGGTCATGCATTCAGGGTTTTTGCTGAAGGCCAATCGTATGTTGCATTGTCTAGAGCCCGAAACCTCTCTTCACTTCGCGTTCTTGCATTTGACCCATCCGTAGTAAAGGCGAATGCGAAAGTGGTGAAGTAAGTTGTCCTTGTATAAAATCAAGTTGCTTCATTTGTCTTCGATTCCCAGATATTACGAGTCAATCAAAGAAAATGCAGAGGAAGAAGACGACGACAGTTTTTTGCTAAGAAAACGTTCCTGCTTATCTTAGCCCAATTGCTCGCGTCAGCATCAGCTCTATCAAAAGCTTTTCAAAGTTATTTGTACCATTATCTGTGATATAAATGATCTCAGAATATGATCTTTGACGACGTTCCTGTACTGCAGCAGTTTTACTTGAATTCTTTGATATGTCATCTACAGAGACATAAACATTCAAGTTTTCGATCGGTCTATTTTTTGCAATGTCGAAGAAGAATTATGTGTGCGTCGCTTGCATGGAGCCGTCATCGTCCCTGTATCAGCGTTACTCGGAGGGCGTTATAAGGCTGTCAGATTGTGTACGTTGTGTTTCGTCTGCTGCTCCAAGACCCATCTATTCCCATAGGTCAAATTTACAGAAAAAATGCGGAGAAGTTGTGGATAAGTATGTCGAGTACGACATAATGCTGGTGGTCATTGATCTCATAATACATAATATCTCGGCTTATCGTCATCTTATCTACAACATGCATATCCAGGTACAGTACCCTTGGGTTTTTGCATCAACATCGTACTGAGTGGAAAAATCCTAAAAGAGTATGCGGACGGAAAAGCAGAGTCTGATACGTGAGTAGAAAACGTGAGTAGAAACCTTGTAGGATGTGTGGGAAGTTCGTTGGAAAATTTTACTTTTGGAACGTGTAGTTCGTAAGAACGAGTAGTTGCCACACAGCTCCACATGATGTCAAGCAAAAGGTGTTCTCTGCTCGTTCCGATTGTGCACTGCCTACATGTGTCTCGCACATGTTGGGGGCAGTGTCCCTGCAAAATTTCATTTTCCAGTTTTTCACCTTTTCGGAGCCTTTTCGCCATGAGTAATCCATATCCGGGATTCTGCAGCTTTCCAGGTCCTTCCGTGGAAAATAAGTGGAAGGAGTCCGGAGCGAAGTAGGTGGGGCACGAGAGACTTCTGGCGTAGTTTCACTGAATGCATATCACCCGACACGAGTCGTTTCTAGGCTTTTTGAAAACGGTCTCCTGTCAAGTCGACGAGTTAGCTATTCTCGTAACTTGATCCCTCTACCCTTAGTTTCATGCCTTGTATTAATATAACAATTCTGACTAGATATGTATCTTTATATCATAAATGTGGGTGAACATAAATGGGGAGGGAACCGAGCACAATCGAGCACCCGGGGAGCGCCAGCTCATCTGAAGTTGGTGGCACCGCCCAGTCGGCGAGCGGACTGTCGGACTCTGATAGTCTGCGTTTCGACACTCCCCTGACTTTCAAAAGTTTTACGAAGTCCCCTTTGACCCTTGTTTTACGCCCCCCCCCCCCACCCAAGAATATTCATTGAGCTCAAAAAACCAGAGCCAAAGGAAATTTTGAATGCGACCTTTAGAATGAGAACAAGAACTGATTATAGATACAAAAGATAACTAACGAAAACTAATGGGAGTCAGTTGCTAGATAAATTAGATTGATAGACGGAAGAATGAAAGAAATCTACAAAATGTTGAAATCAAAGCTTGAAATGAAAGTGAAAATACAAAGAGGGAAGATGCGGAGGAGTTGAAGCTGGGGCGCGATATCTAACAAGGCGAATTTCGAAAAAAAGAGGGCAAAACGGTGGAAAGGGGCTAAATGAAACTGTTTTTATGCTGGGTTAGACTTTCGACCGGGGCATCCCCCATTATGAAAAATTTACAAAACTTTTTGCGTAATTCTCCCTCAAACAATATTTTATTCCTATGGTACAAATTTGGTGTCAAAAGCTTGTGTCTACGCTTTAAACAAGCAGTTTGCTTACTTCTTGGCTTTCAAATCCGCGCGCTTTTCGCAAGACCCGATAGAGCACGTCAGTCGTCAGTGTCGTCGTGACCCGTTTTTAGAGCTAGTGTTCGACTAAGTGGCGCTTATCCTTGATGCTCGGCCGCGCACTCCGCAAAAGCGATATCCCCTTTGCGTTTTCGCCCTAACGAAGTCCAGCCTGTTTCCATGCAATCTGTGCCGGGCCTGGCCTGGAAAGTTGCGAAAAAGGCTCATTTTCGCCACATGCGATGAAAAGCCCAGTATGAGTTCGTCATGGCGAGAAAGCTCCGAATAGGTGACAAACTGGAAAGCGATATTTTGCCAGGAAGCTGCCTGTAAGGGCTGGCTCACACTAAACAAGCATGCATTCATTTATAACCAAAGAAGCCCATCCGAATCCAAGTTTGGTATTTAGAGAGGCAGTGCCCAGGTGAAATCGCACGGAGTTGTGACGAAGAAAGTGATTTAAAAGACCTAGCTAAGCTATTTTCTATGCGGGCGACGCATCAGCTAAAGTCTTGTCCAGTGCCGTAACACTGATTACAGTCGAAAAGAGTACAGTGTAAATGTTCCTCTCGGCCATGATGAGCTAGCTTCCACTTAGGCCTTGGTCAGATATTCCCGTAGAGGTGGCTTAGAAGGCTGATTACCTAAAACAATGTTCTTCACATCCTTCGTATCTTGAGCATACAACCTGCTTGATAAGAAATGAATGGTATAGGGGCCTGCAGGATCGCGAGAGTCGGACGTGCGTACGGCCATTGCGCCGCGCACGTCGTATGTCACTGGGTCGTACTCGATTTAGGCTGGATAGGTGAGATTTTTTTGTTTTTCTTCTCATTTCTTGTCTTCTTTTCTTTTCAGGCGGCGAACATATGTTGGTGCAGAGGAGTTTAAGATCTAGATTAAGGTGAGGTGCAGGATTATGCTCAATACGGGCCAATATTGTGGACTTTTTACCCCTGCTTTGAAGAATGTTGAGTTTTCTGTTCTGGCTGTCCGATTATGTTCGATTTTTCGTCCTGCCTGCCCGGTTACGAAACTCCATTTTATTTGCAACGTCTGTTCTACCTCATCTTGCATCATGCGCGTCATCACAATCATAATCATTGTCATCATCATCATCATCATCACAAGCAATATGCAAGATAAGGTAGAATAAACGGTAGAAATTGAACAGTTTGCTGTAACAGGGCAGCCAGGACAGAAAATCCAACATCTCAACCAGCAGGCATGGAAGGTCTGCAATATTGAGTCCGTATTGAGCATAATCCTGCACCTCACCTTAATTCAGATCTTAAACTCTTCCGCACCAACATGTGCTCACCGTCTGAAAAGAAAAGAAGGCGTGAAATGTAAAGAAAAACAAAAAACTTACCTATCTAGCCTTAATCGACTACGACCCAGCGATATCAGGCGTGCGCGGCGCAAAGGCCGTACGCGCGTCCGACTCTCGCGATCCTGCAGGCCCCTATACAAGAAGTCAACTAAAATCGTGTGTAAAGGGACATCGGAGGTATTTCAGGAACTATACTACCGAGAACAAAAATCACTAAATCTAATCAGATAGAGATGATTTTTTTCCGCTTAAAGGCAGTGTCCGGGCAAAAACTCGATTTTGAGATTTTGTGCTTACTTGGGCCTATTCGCTACGCTGAATCCGAAAATGCACATTGTAGGGCGCGAAAATGGCGAAAAACGGCTCTAACACAGGAGGGAAATGAGCAGGTGGGCGGGGTCCTCCCCACTGCGATTTCACGTTCCCGGCTTCCGGAGCGACCTTCTCACTTCCGGTTTCAAGTCAATCATTCGCACTTGGCCGGTAGCGATGTTAGGATGGCTAGCGGAATCGAGAAAATCGCTCCGGGAGCTGGGAGCGTGGAATCGCATTGGGGCAAGCCCCGCCCACCTGCTGATTTCCCTCCTGTGTTAGAGCCCTTTTTCACCGTTTTCGCGCTTTCCAATGTGGATTTTCGGATTCAGCATGGCGAATAGGCCCGTATAAGCACAAAATCTCAAAATCGAGTTTTTGCCCGGACACTGCCTTTAAGCAAGCGGGTTAATATGAAGACATCAGACGAATGATTAACACACGAAAACGACAAGGTACAGGCAATTCTGCATAGCTCGAAGAAAAAAATAGTTATCCCGTACTTAGGGTGCCTTCATACCTCGCCGGCTGCCGCCGCTAGCCGTCCATAGCCGCTTCAGCGCACTATCCCAATATTCCAAGGCCTTTCCAAAACGTAGAAAGATTGAGTTATTCGTAATCAGCATGTTGAACAACCCCATTAAACCAAGTTTGAGCAAGATTCATGGTTTCAATTTTGAGATGCGGATACTGGTATAGTGCACAAAAGCGGCCAGCGGCGGCTGTCGGCGCGGTATGAAGGCACCCTTACACAGTGAGAGTTTGGAGCGCTGAAGCTCTTTTAACATCTCACTTCAACCAAGAGGTAGAATCTGGGAATTCTTTTTCTTGATTATTTCATGAGGTTTAGGGTAAGGGTGCACTGTAAACCTTGAAAGAAACCCGCTTTGAAGTTTGAAATCTTATCCGAGGGGGATTTACCAACAGTGTATATTATTACTCATCATATTATTACTCACATGAAATTCACAGTATAGTCTAGATCTAGTGCATCAAGCAAGAACAAGTTAGCTTATCTTGCTACTCTCCTGTAATCCACCTAAGCTATGATTGTTTTGTCAAGATCATTTACCGAGATAAAGGGAAAGAGATTGACAGAATGACACATATCTTGGTTTTTCTTCAAAATTTTACTGACTGATGGTAAGAATGAATTATGTTATCTCTTTGACATAAGCAAGGTTCGAAGGTGAATTTTGTCAAGCCAGTGCCTTCGATTATTGGTCATTTTTTGCGTAATTGATGAAAATAATTTTTGTTCTCTGTATCAGCATCAATTTCGACTAGCAGTGATCTTTTTGTTCTGTGATGCCTATGACAAATGGATCTCAGGAAGAGTAGGCATCTACAACATATACGATTTGGAATGGATGTGAGCAATTTGACTTCGATAGTTCTACCAGTCTACCTTTGTCAGTTGCTGCTTTATTTCAGATTCTATAAAAGCCTTCTACAAAGCGCCATAGAGATGAGCACTTATGTTGCATTCATAATGCTTTTTGAGCTAATGAAGACTTTCTCCCTCAGCCGTATGCTACTCGTCTGTCGAGGAACTATAATAGGCTATTACGGTGCGCACGAGATGGTCATCGATGGTTTTCATATCCTGAACATTTTTTCCAGGCAATGTGGCTGTTGTGTTCTCAATAATCTTTCGATTGAGTAGCGAATTTTCGTACCGTTCTGTTACGGAGCTGTTTATTTTTATCTCTCATATACAAGTACAGAGAAGTAAGTTTATTCGCAAAAGATGGTAGTCGATCTCTTTCTTAGTGGCTTGCTTTAGCTCTGTTCCCTGATCTCGCCTTCTTTGTAAATTTCATGGTCGTGGCCTTGGGCGTCGCCTTATCGAAGTACTGTGGGCAGTTGTGCCGGAATATCCTAGAATATTAGTATTCGTAGTACCTCATTGTATTACATTGAAAGCCATATCTCCACTTCAATTCATTTTGAGGAATCTTTTTGAAGTAATAATGACACTGTTGAGATAACTGCACATCAGTGATTTCACAAAACCTCTGGAGTTCTTATAGATGTAAGAAGCTGTATCATTGTATATGCATATGATACTCTGATAAATGGTATATTTAGTTGACCGCATTTCTATTAGGTTGTCCGGAAATTGATGTCCGTTTTGAATTTCAACAGCAATAAGTCATACACTTCTCATTTCTAGATAGTATGCAATGTACCATTCGATAGAGCAAAGCAAGCTCTACAAGATGGCAGCCTTGTTTTAGCGACATCTCTGATTCACCTCGAATTTCGAACCGAAAACTGAAGAGATTCAACTATTTGAGAAATCGAGAAAAATCGTAACTCAGTTCATTGAAATCCTACAGAAATTCTAACTTGCCCACATAAGCACAGTCTACATAAGACATCCATATACGTTGTTGCCGTATTTTTTTCCTCTGTTGGAAATCAAGAGAACACAATTCTCATGCATTTGCCAGAGTGATGCTGTGCTGTCCCCACATAAGTGGTTGTATATTACAAACCTTTAAAAGTACAAACGTAAAATTTCCAGCTTTATGCAGGCTTTAGCTCTCGAGAAATATCGAATATAGCTTTCCCAAGTCAGGGGGTCCAGACTGAAATTCAGATTTCTCGAGAACTGTAACTTATAGAGAGCTGAAAATTTTCGTTTGTACTTCTAGCTTTGTAGTATACTACCTATGTGGGAACAGGACAGCATCACTTTGACAAATGCACGAGAGTTCCCGTTTTCTTGATTTCAGAGAAAAAATACGGCAATGGCGTATATGAATGTCTTATGTGGATTGGGTTTACGTGAGCGAGTTAAAATTTTTGTAGGATTTTTCAGAACGGAGTTACAATTTTTCTCGATTTTTTGGACAGTTGAATCTTTTCAGTTTCTGGCTCGAAACTCGTGGTGGATCAGAGCTGTTGCTAAAGCAAGATTGCCATCTTGTAGAGCTTGCTTTGCTCTGTCGAATCGTACTTTGCATACTATCTAGAAATGAGAAGTGTATGACTTATTGCAAATTCAAAACGGACATTAATTTCCAGACAACCTAATACAATGCTATGAGCATTGAGAGTTTCCAGTAGTGAGTAGTGATTTCTGCTTTTTGGTTAACAGCTTTTAATTGTGAGAGAGGAGCGAATGGAAAGAGAAATGGGTAATGTCAGTAATCAAGAGTAATCTTTCCTTTTTGTTTCAACCTTACACTCTTTGTACCTTAGTAAACCTTTGCTTTGGAAAATAGCTTTGTAGTATACCTAAATTATTATTGATGCTGATTATTTTTGGTGTCAACTGTTGATCGTTTGGCGATCAAAGGTTGATACCAAGAAACGTAAATTCTCTCGGAAGAAGTTTGCTGTTGTTTCTTGCTAGCCAAGATTTATGGTATGTCAGTGTGGAATTTTGTTTCCGACGTGCGGATGTGGCATTCTATTCAATTAAGCCCAGATTATTTGGACCGTACTTTCGTTCCTCCATGAAATTATGACAACGATTTCGACTGCGGTCTTCGCGCTCACACAAGCGTCACAAGAGCATAAAGCAGAAGGCATCAATCCCATCTACACGATAATGAGAACTGATTTTCTAATTAGCAATTTTGTCAAAATCTTTCTTACATCACATTGTTGACGGCAACAAAATCAATTATGGTGACTGGGCTACGGTATGGAGAGCCTGCTTCAGCAGATTGTTGAAATCGAGGTATAAGATCCTGCAAGACGAAGGCGGTCGGTTCGATGTGCAACGCGGCTGCTACACGGCTGCGTTACAGGCGCGCCGCAGCCGCGTCACAGCCTCGTCGCACATCAAACTGACCGCCTTCGTCTTGCAGGAGCTTGTACCGAAATTTGCCGGTTTTAAGAAGGAAAGTGCGCTCTGACTGAATGATCGGCGCAGCTGCTGCAATTGAGGAAAAGTCGTAAATTACAGTATTCAACCGAGATTAGATAGAATTGAATTGGCGGCCGCTCCACAATGATTTGCGTGCCATGATAGTCATGGCGTACTCAAGTCTGCTTCTCCTCATTCTTCAGGTCTCTAGCAAGCAAAATGCCAGCGGTCTGAGCTTGTAAAGCCTTCAGCGATGCGGAGACGGCGCTTCACGTAAAATGTTTTCCTCACGATTAGAATAGAATGTAAAGACTGCTTGTCGAGACGCAGACTAATTAGATGGTCCGACAGTCCCCACGCCAACTGGGCGGTGCCCAGCAACTCCAGATGAGCTGTGCCTAACCGCGTGACCGGCGGTTTCCCTTCCCCTTTCTTTCTATTTTTAAATATATAATAAAGATTCTAGTCATAAATGTTATGTTTATATAAAGTAAGACAATCAGGGTGAGGGATTCTAGTCAGGAGAGTGCACCTCCTGGACTTGACAGCTGCATGACAAAGGCACAATACTTTTGGGCGCGAACGCGACTTTATTAGCCGCAGAGCGCATAAGGCGCAAGATTTACAAGGATGAAGATACGCGCGCGCCGAGTTCGCGCCGCTCAACTAATACTGCTGTTGCGCCTTTGTCATGCAGCCTTTATGTAGGTGACGCATATGCGTTTCTTAAGTGCAGGAAGAGTCGGTTGCGCCGTCTGATGTGGGTGAAGGGCGAAAATATGGTTCGGATGAGAAAGTTCCGATAGGAGAAGTATTTTGTAACAGACTGTAGAGCTCGCACTTCGCAAAACTCGTTGTCATGTGAGCGAATGCTGCAAAATGCGGTACATGCTAACAAGGATGACGTTCTTTTAGAAAAGAGGATACAAAAACACATGTGCTAAAATGCTTGTATTTCTAGACCTATCACATCTGCAAACAAATAGGGTGTCTTCTTTGTCTACGTAAACACCGTAGTAAGCAGACAGCGAGACTTGTAGAGTGTAAACTGTTGAGCGGAACTGTTTTTCCAGTTATTCGAGACATTTGCTCAGAGATGTCGGATCGTAAGCTCTCCATCGCGTTTTGCGTCCAATTTCTTTTGACGTTTTTGAATTTTTTCGGTTGGTGTACAAGCAGCGTCGCACCAGCTTATGCTCGCATCAGGTCAGACCCAAGCCAATTTCCGAAAGCTTTGTCATTCAGTGCCTGGCACCGTTTTCCTATTTTGAGAAAGCTCCACGTTTTTTGCGCGCTTTCGATGAGATTCTTCTAACGGATCGTCTGGATGAGAGGATATGTTCGTCAACTCTGACAAACTCAATTGATACTCAAGCAGATATGATTGTTGGCACTTCGAATTCAGTATCGAATAACACATGAGCTTTGGGATTCTAGAAAGTAGGTGGCTCAATAGTCCAGGTCCGGACATCATTCTACGCCAGGGAAAACCAAGAAACATGATGTAAATTGACTAGAATGTCCGTGTTCGACAACATAAGTAAGCGTTGGAAAAAATGATAGGTTATTCCTTTATTCTAAGGTACTTTGAAGTCTTTGCAGTCTTCTCTCACCACTGATTCACCGCATGGCACACGCCATATTTGATCCACTTGATCTGCTTGATCCACTTCGCTATTGACGAACTCAGTGAACTGACCATTAACCAAGTGTATATAGCGGATCAAGTGGACATCCATTTTATTGGTCAGTTCACTGATTTGACCAATAGCGAAGTGGACCAGGTGGATCAATTGGGCCTAGCAACTATGGTGCGTTCCTATAGTGAAAGGTCAAGGAAACTAGATGCAGTTTCTTTTTCCCCTACCATCACTAAGCAAATGTTGTTTTGCAATTTGGAGAGGAAACTCTACTGACTCCTCCTGCAAAAAAGACCAATTACGTACAACTGTTGGGCCGTTACGGATATCTGTAAGAGCAGAACAATTTTATAGTGAGTAGTAAATCGAAAATTTCCGATCCAAGTGAAATTTACTATTCATGGTCCATTTGTTTTTATTCAGATTATGAGGTCTTTCAGACGAAAAAAAAAAACACTCCGCAAGACCAGCACAATTGCCTCGTGACCTTTTCTATTAGCTTCTAACTTTTTGATAGAACTCTTGTTTCATCAATATCTCCCGTCGATAAGCTCCCGTCTTGTCCCCTTTTTTACAAAAATCCTCCCGCTCAATCTTCAACACTAATACGTCATTGTATGAAGTGGAGGGATTACGCAGTGAGGCTAAAGAGTGTAATAAATGAAGCACGTCACTTCATACGTGTTCTCTTGCAGAACAGGTATCTCTTTTGTCTTCAAGTATGCCAACCGCCTCTTCTAGATGCCAATGAGAAGCGAAATAAATTGCATTTATTGCGTTCTTCAAACGAAATCTTTAAAGTTTTTTGACTTCTCCAAAATTGTAGATAAACATCATACTTTTTCTGTGTTTGTTGCAAGATAATCGCTATAAAAGCTTGAAAATTGAATGACCAAATTGTGAAGAAGAAAATGTTGTGATCTTAGACTACGCGTTGATGATGTGCTAACGATAAGCTCATTGTATCAACAAGCTGAATGAAGCAATGACCCCGTATCAAGAGTATTTAACTATCACTCCTTTGAGTCCTAAATTGGAAATTACTAAGAAAAGATTGCTTTCAGCAACTCTTAAGTAGTTCGGGGTTTAAAACGATCAAAAGTACCTGAGAAAAATTTCGTTTGGTATGGCTGTTGTTGCTGCTCAAATCATTTAAAATATAATATTTAAAACTTACAGGAAAGAAACTCCACCAAAATTTTCAAGGGAAAAATGTGGAAACTCGACGTTGCGCAGCACTCGAGTAGGGTTTTTCGTATTTGCCATGCATATCTTGAAGGGATGAGGCTTAAGTGTTTTTTTTTGTTGTTGATAATTTTACTTGATTTTCTTAGCTGCTTGGGCACATGCACTGTATATCTTATCTGAGAGATCGGTTTTGCTCGTTAACATTCTGTACTTGCAGACATTAGTAAAAAATCTGTATCTATAATCTGCTGCAC